AGAACATGAGTACATATCTCCCAAAGCAAGAGATAATCCAAACATCACTGGGATTTTAAACAGCCACTTTACCCTCCTGATTCTCTTTTGCTCAACCTAATGTTCAAATTCATTTTCATTCTCTTGACACATGCCAAATATTGGCAAAGGAAATGATCCCTGTGTCCTGAATTCAGGAATTAACTCTCTCATGCTTTTGCTCTGGGCTGTTTTCTCCCCTGAAAATGTCAACATTGGAGGTTGTTTTTTTTTTCCTTGAATCCACCAATTCCAATTATTTGTACAAGGAGAAATGAAGTTTCAAAGAGCTTTGCTTTTTCATGTTCGGCGCTCTAGAAGAACAGACTGGGACAGTGCAGGAGTGACTATGTGGTGTTGCTTGGGAAGCGCCCACAAGTTCTTTGAAACAGAATTTGGAACAGCTGGACCACTGCAATGTTTTATTTTAAAATAGACAACATATGTAATGCATATGGTCCTAGACATGTATGGAGACACAGGCAGACAATCTGAATGGTATCCAAAGACACCTGCACCTAGAATTCTGTTTCCTTCTATAAGATTTTTTTTCCCCTAAGAGCACATGTTCCCACTTTTGGATTTGCAAGATACCATCTGAATCCCCATGTGTGTGGCTCCTTAATAAAGCCAATGAGAAGTTGCCTGCAACGGAGGTGTCGGAGTCAGTGAGTTAATAACCACCTCCTGAGGACTCTCTGTTCTAGAAGCTCGCAGGGAAACCCCCAGGTTGGAAACTGCCCTTGAGGAATGCATTATCTACCAAGGTGTTCAACTGTGTGCCTCTGTCCTCATCACAGAGAAACTGGAACACAACCCAGCAACAACGCAGAGACAGGACATAGGAATTGGTTATACAGGGGCAGAGCGCATCCACAAAGCAGAGAGATTGGAAAGGAAATCCAGCTTCCCAGAAATGATTCAAGAAGTAAGGAAAGATGGAACATTAGCCATAGGCAGAGTCATCTTTGGCTCATGAGCAACTTAAAACAAGTGCCTTTGCAAGCACTAAGAAGCCTGCCTGATTACACCTAACTAACATTTATTGAGCAGCTAGTATGTGCCAGGTGACTTCCAGGCACTTCTTATGAGATCCCATCAACACCCTCCATGGTAGGCTTGAACACTGTCTTCCACTCACCCATGGGGACAAGTAGACTCAGAAACATTAAGCAACTGTCTCAAACCACATACCTAGTACTGGCAGATCTAGCCTCCAGCTCCAGTCTTTGTGATATTCCTAAGCCCTCCCACTTACCTCCTTGCTATCTATCTCCTAGCAAATACACTGTTCCTAACGAGGTTAATGTAACAATATTTCATAAAATCATGAGATAGAAAACATTTACCGATAGGGTGAATTTGTTCATTTTGATGAAATAAATTTCCTGTTTTAACAAATATGCAACAAGGACCTACTAGTAATCCCAACAGTTAGGGAGACTGAGGCAGGAGAATCATAAATTCAAAGCCAGCCTCAGCAACTCAGCAAGGCCCTAAGCAACTCCGTGAGACCCTGTCTCTAAATAAAATATGAAAAAGGGGCTGGGAATGGGGCTCAGTGGTTAAGCACCGCTGGGTTCAATCCCTGGTACCAAAAAACAAAAACAAAAGTACCTACTATGTGCCAGGTACTATGCTAGGTGCTAAGAATATAGTGGAGAACAAAAAAAAATTGAAATCCCTGCTTAACAATAACAATTGGATCCCTTTCACTTATACTTTGAAATAGCATTCCTGGTCTATTCTCCTTTTTTTTTTTTTTTTTTTTTTAGATTATAATAAACTCAGAGAAATCTTCAGGATGTCCCAGGAGCCAGCCACCCTTTTAAGTACTCTTGAGTTATTGGAACAATTAAAATAATAAGCCTAAGTCTGAGTAAATGATAATTTTGTGCAAGCAAAAATCCAGGGGCTGCTCGTTTTGCTTGCCGGAAATTCTACTGCCTTAAGCTCTCCCACGTCCCCAGGTATGCAAAGGATCTTGAGGATACTTAAACTACTGTCTGCGACAGCAGAAGGGAAACTGAAAGGTCAACTCCTCTTACACCCAAGGAAACCAAGGCTGAGAAGAGAAACAGTTCATCCAGCACCTGACAATTATTTAAAAGCAGTTCGAACTAGAACCCAGACCTCCTCAATTCAAGTTCATTCCCCATGTGAATCAGGAGGAAAAGGAAAGAGAGAAAGAAGGGGAAAAGGAAGATTTATTTCTTTGGGGGGATTGAATCCAGGGGCACCGAACCACTGAGCCACATGCCCAGCCCTTCTTATCTTTGGAGGCAGGGTCTCGCTAAGTTACCGAGGGCTTTACTAAATTGCTGAGGCTGGCTTTGAACTTGTGACCCTCCTGCCTCGGACTCCCAAGTTGCTGGGATTGTGGGCATGTGCCATCGTGCCCTGCAGGAAGTTTAATTTCAACAGAGTTATTATCTGAAAAAGATGCTAATTTGATACGCATTTTTCTGTAAGCCTGTTTGAAACATTGGTAGAAAAGAAAATTGTGCTTAAGACTCGCTCCTAGCCAAGTATTAGCAGAGTGGAGCTGTCTTCATTGAGCCCTTGGGATGGGTAGAGGGGTGGGGAGTGGGTCTGTAGCTAGGTCTCCCTAGAAGGGCCAAATTGCCTTTTCAGATCCATTTCTTAAGTGGCCGGAAAGGCAAAATAGGTCATCAGCAAAGTTTTCAAGAGGTTTTAATAGATAAACAAAGAGCAAGACACTTGAAACATGGGCCATATTTTTTCACAGTCACAAAAGAGGCCCCTTCTCTCTGAGCTAAATGACCAGTTGTACCGTCATCATTGAAGAGCGATAAATTAGCCGAGCCAAACTGGCAAAGTGAGGCCCCGGTCGATTTTGTCAGCTTGCAGCCTCTTCCGTGAAATCCGAGAGCAAGAAGCCAATGCTAGCCAAACTGCCTGATCTGTCTGTTAAAATCGGGAGGCAGGGGGTGGATGAGGCTTTTTTATGAGGACCTAGCAGGATGAGCAATGTATGCACACCCCACGCTTAGTTTTCTTTTTTTTTTTTTTTTTTCTGAATTAAGTTGCCCTGGGATGCACAGGGTGGAGGGCAGAGGTGGAGGGCAGAATCTGTTGGAGGAGATGAAGAAGAGCCACCTAGATAGCACCAGAGTCCTCATGTCAGGGGAGAGACCTCAAGTTGGAGCAGGTTTAAGATGCTTGCACATCCAGGCACTGGAAACATTTAGATTGCCCCCAGCCCAGCCCAGCCCTGCCCAGCACCACCTTCCTGACTGTTCGGACTCAGAAGGGAAATGTTTCAAGACCAAGCAACAAACAAAACAGAAGTGATCTTCCCAGGCGAAGCACCCAACCTCAGCTGGAAAGCCCTTTCCTGAGATAGAATCTAAGGCAGTTAACACAGCAAAGACGATTCTCGATTCTCGCAGATTCTCTAATAGAATTCCTGCCCATGCAATAGCTCTTCCAAAAGCTTGTGTTTTATCATTTTAATGGAGCGATTTGGCTGTTAAAATACACATTCTTCAACTTGCCTTCTGGAAACCGAGGCTTTTTTGTGTGTCTTGGGCATAAACAACACATCTCGTTCAAACACTGACCACTGCTGCTTCTCGGAAATATGACAGAAGATTTTTAAAATCCAACATAAGAGGGTGTAAATCTCCCACGCCATGCATTTAGGTTTGAACAATACCCCAAATCAATAAGTGGAGAAATCATTGAATTAGAGTCACACTGTCACCGTAACCCAGCTTACAGCCAAACCCCAAGCATGGGAGACAGATAGGGGAAAAAAAAAACTGCCTGAAGCAGAGACCACACATGAAAATATTATTCAAACACCCTTCCAAGTCAGAAATTGATTTTCCCCTTGCCCCGATAGGATTGCTGGTTCCTGGCAGGTCCCTGTACTCGAGTAAAATGTTGCATTCGAGGAGATGAATAAAATCTTGCTCCGTTTGATATGAGATTATTTTTCTTCGTAGTCTGCATATCAGGAGACCGWGTGCAGATGAGGTGGAACCAGCCGATTTCCTTTAACGCAAAAGACCTTCATTCTACCTCCTTACGATTTGCTTGGTGGCACTCCAGTTGAATCCTCCGAGTTACATTGCCAGTGGAGGGTAGTATATGTTAGTTCCACGTGTTGGGATTAATTAGTTAGCCCTTAGGAGGTTTTGCCTACAGCCCTGTGAGGAAAAGTGTGAATACATTGAGACGATTAATTCACAATAAATGGCAGATCATAGCCCTCGCTGAGTAAATTTCTGTTTGTCTCTTTCATAAGCTTTGCTCACAGAGGAAGCACACTATAAAGCAATGCCCTTGGCTGTCACAAACTAAATTCCCATTTAGCTTAACCCTCCAGGTTTCAATGAAAAAAAAAATCTTTTTTCTTTTTCTTTTTTCTTTTCCTTTCCATTCTTTTAGTTTTTAATTTTGGAGGGTGGGGACTCAAACCTTTTAATGCTACACCAAATTGGCCATGGGGATTTGGAAGGGGAGGACCCAAATCTCGTCACTTTGCTGAAAATCAGCAGAAACCCTTTTTGTCCAGAGAATCCCAATAATTGTAGAGAAATTGCTCTAGACATAACCACTGGAATGGCAGAATCTATTCAAAACCTACGCAGCTAAATAGGCTGTTTTAGCAAAGATCCGATCTGCTTTCAGTGTTTTGGTGGAACGCAGGCGAAGTTCCAATCTCGTGTTTAGTTTTTAAAGAACATGAATGCACTGGCATTGTGATCATTTGATAAACATGTTGATGCCAATATATTTTTTGCCTACGTGCAGTAAACTTAACCAGTTAAGTGATGCAAGTTGACAATGGGAGGTAAATATATATATATATATATCTTGGGATGTTGGTGGGAGGTACCGGGGAAGCAGCTAATGTTTGTAATGCCTAGTGAATTCCTGTGTATTTGAAATGTCAAAGAAAATGTGATGTGTTTCTCTAAATTGTGTCTCTCTCTACATGTATAAATGAACAGACGCAGATAGAGCCCAAAAGCATGGCATGGATGAATTTATCTCTTCCAACCCCTGTAACTTTGACCACGCTTCCCTCTTTGAGATGGTACAGCGCCTTACTTTGGATCACAGACTTAATGATTCCTATTCTTGCCTGGCAAGTATCTTCTTTGGTCTTWCAGCACTTTAAACATAGCTTTTTTTTTTTTTTTAATGAAATTTTTCTCTACCTTTATGTCAGAAGCTCTTTTCTCCATGATGGAATGGCTTTAACAATTGCAAATGTGTTCTCCATTTCCCGGGGTTGAGATAGTTTAACTTACCAAAGAAACAAGACTGAGCGGCAGGAAGTTCTCAGAAGAGACACGTCCAAGTCCCCAGCTTCCCCTTCATAGCTTCCCCACTTTTCAGCTGCTACATGAGAAATATTCCGGAGGGGGATGATCGAGTTTGGCACCTGCTACTGGAGAACTTGCAAAACTCGCCTCCGTATCTTAGAGTTTAAGGTGTCCCTCCCTTCCTAGCCCAGACCTGGTGCTCCTATCTCAAAAAGAGATAGACTCTTTACTGTGTCTCTTTTAAAGACTGAAACGATTCAACAAATAAATTCCACTCTCCATAAGCCTTTATTGACGGGGGTTTGTTTGTTGGGGTGTCTTTCCTTTTTTCTTCATAATATTCAGAGTCTTTTTTCCCCCCACCCTTTGAGGGAATTTTTTATGGTGCATTAGAAATTTGGAAATCCAGCTAACCAGCAGGAGTCTCAACATTTTCTAAAATCCTATTTTAAACCTAGGTTTAAATTAGTTAAATTCAAGGGAATGCTATTATGTCTCTTTTGGATTTCTGAAGATACATTTTTGGCTTTAAACTATCAAATTCAAAAGCCTAAAAAAGACTCGGTTTACTTCCTTCTGCAAACCCTCAATTATTACTTCATGTCTTAAAGGTAAAGGCTAGGAATCCCACTTTATAGATGGGAAAGATGAGGGGGAAACGAAGAGAAGGACTTCATACACAAGGAAACTCTCATCCCTAAATCCAAACACTGAAGTCAACGTGTCTTCATAGTATTAATATGGTGTAATTAATCAAGCAAGCTAACACACTATGGATTTCAAATTTCTAATGCACCATAAAAAAATCCCTCAAAGGGTGGGAAAAAAATTTCTAAGTTTTATCTTCACTGTATGCTGAATAATTTATATTTCAAATTTCTTTTTTTGTTTCTTTGGGTTTTTGGTGTTTTTTTTTTTTTGGTTCCAGAAACCAATATATAATATATAAAGGGTAAAAATCATCTTAAAAATAGAAATGGGATTCTGTGGAATAATTTATTAATCCATGTCTCATAAATGAAATGTTGATCATCTCAGGTTTAGAATCCCTTCATCAGAAGACTCTGCACTTTGCCAATTTGGAAAAGAACATATCACTTTGACTTCAATGGGGAAAAAAAGTTTACCTAGCATTGCAAGGCAATTTTTCTCAAATGCGTTTCCTACTATTATGTAGCTTACAAATTATAAATTGCAATTATGTAATTATAAATTGCACTTATGAAACTTGTAAGAATGTGCCTCTGCACTTAAATTATTGCCTGTTATGTATAATTCTCTTTCTCTTGAGGGATTTTTTTAAGTATATAATTTTCAAGATTTTTTTCCCCACATTGCCGTTATTTAAAACAATTTTCTTTTGTTTTGAAATTTACTACAAAAGAGAATCAGCAATGCCCTCTTTTAAAAAAAATTAAACCAAAAAGAAACATGAAATATTGAAGCTTGTTTCYATTAGTCATTATCGGCTTAAAAATAGGGTCCAAAATCCAAAATCATTTATGAGTAGAGTAAAATAGCCTTCTTCCCCCATTTATATACCTATATCTATTAATCAGCGTTCCAGAGTTTCAGAAAATAACAGAAATTAAAAGAACTTTATCTCCCACTTCTATATATTCCATTTTCTCATTATTACAGTCTTTTTTTTTTTTTTCAGTTGGTTTTGGAGACCGACCAGCAGGGATACATAAATTTTTCTGTGTCTTCGACTCAGTTCCTAATTGATATTTCTTCAACTCTTTTCAAAGCAGCTATTTTGGCATCTACAAAAGACTTGGTGTCATCTGAGTCGTAGAAAATATATTTTAATCTTTCACAGCAGTGTTGTTTCTAAGATTTAGCATTTGGGGTAGCAGATGGAGTGGCAAAGAAGTTGCCTATAGGGGCAGCCCATTGCCTCGACTACTCTCCCGCCCTCTGCAGTAACTTATAATTTGAAGTAGGAAAGATGCCGTCTTTCGTTGGATGCATCTCTCTAAGCTGCATGTTGTCAATCGAAGACTCCCCCCAGATCCCTAATGCAAGACTGGAGGGTCGCAAAGGCCCCCTTCGACACACTTCTCTGTCCTCTCCTCTCTCCTAGTCTCTTTCTCCTCTTGCCCTTTCTCTCCCAAGATGGAGCAACACTCAAAATACAACTCAGAGAAGACCCTCAAAGTAAAAAGGAAGTTCAGATTTAAAACAGTCCTAAATTCCCAATTTACCAAGCACTTCCTGAATCGATTTATTTCTTGCTCAGCCAGCACTGAAACCAGAAACGGTGATTTCATTCAGGCTCAGCCCAAGGATGACCTTGAGCTGCACACATTTGTCCTTTCCGAGTACCTGTTCTCTTAAGCCCATGACAGAGGTAGTAATTTCTACCCCGTCATGCCACACCATCTAAGTCAGAGACCACATCTGGATTTTCTTTGATAGCAGAATCTCAGCTGGTCTTAGAGCAAATGCATTATAAGAAGACAATTATGGTGGGGGTGGGGGTGGGGGGGACTGGAAACCAGGACACAAGAAGTTCCTCTCAGTTTAACCGAATCATTTCTGATTTACAACTGCAAAAAACATAGTCATGCTATCTCTTTGGAGAATTAGGTTATTAACTTCATTTTAAGATTTTAAGAATATTCTTCTAAAATGCAAGGATTAATGAGGCCCCAGTATATATATAAGAGCAACCCTAATATTTCTTCTTGTTCTGGATTAGAGAAGTAGAATACTTGGAATAAAATAGAACTGGATTTGAATCCTGTTTCTGTTTCGTAATATCTATGTGAGTTACTTAACCCGGATTTCCATTACCTTACCTATAAAATGAAGATCAGCATGCCGTACCTACTTCACAAGGTTGCTAGAGAGCTCAATGGAAAGTTCTTTATCCAGCATAAAGCACTAACTAATTTAAGGCATTCATGTTATAATTTTTCCTTACCAGCAATCAAGATTTTGCTTAGCCCATGCAAGGTACCTGGTCTAGTGGTAGAGCCCTGGGTTTCAATCATACTATCTGCTAATACAGCTCACCCACTTATCAGGAAATCCCATGTCCTCTCTGGTCTGTTTTCCTGTCCATATAAGAGGGATAACAGAGTCTACCTTATAGGTTTTGGGGGAGAATTAAAACATGTAGTACACACAATGTGTTGAACACAGCAGCTGACACTTAGTAAGCAATCAGGGAGCTGATTTTTAGACCCCTTCCCCAGCCACTCTCAACTCTATCAGTTCTCCAGGAAACAACCTGTATTTAAAAGAAAGTCTTTCCTTCATTCCCCCCACAGGGCTGGTTCAGTCCTGGCCAGGTGTTTGTATTAGACGAATATTGCGCCCGAAATGGAGTTCGAGGGTGTCACCGACATCTCTGCTACCTCAGAGACTTGCTTGAACGGGCAGAAAATGGCGCCATGATCGACCCCACCCTTCTTCACTACAGCTTTGCCTTCTGTGCATCGCACGTCCACGGGAACAGGTAAGCAGGATTCTGGTGATGCTGATCAAAAAGCGGAAGGAAAGCGGAACTGGCAGTGATTGGTCACTGGCCTTGCTTTGACAACCATCCCTAACTGTCTGTCCATCCCCATTCCCTCAGTAGCAAGGGGAGCACACACATGCACACAAGACACCTACAACACACAGAACATAAAGGTCTAACTTAGTTTCTTCTCCTTTGGAAAGACTATAAGACTATTTTTTTAAAAAATGGCAAACAGGTCTTCATTTTTTTCGGGAGGGTACTGGGGATTGAACTCAGGGGCACTCAACCACTGAGCCATATCCCCAGCCCTATTTTGTGTTTTATTTAGAGACAGGGTCTCACTCAGTTGCTTAGCACCTCAGTTTTGCTGAGGCTAGCTTTGAACTCGTGATCCTCCTGCCTCAGCCTCCTGAGCCACTGGAATTATAGGTGTGCACCACTGCACCCAGCCAAACAGGTCTTCTTGGGTGACCTCTGAAGTAAGACCATTCAGAGTTCAGATCATGGCTCCTCTTTTCACTAGCAATGAGTCTCCTTGGTAATAACCCCCTCAGTGCCACGGTTTTCTCATCTGTGAAATGGAAATGAGAGCATCCTCAGAGGGTTGTTGAGAGGACACTGGTGGCTATAAAAAGCTCAGCAATATGCGCAGAACACGGCAAGAGCTTAACAAATGTTTGTCTTTGTTGTTACCACTGTTCCTTCCATGAGTGTTTGGTGATTACTTTGTGTCAGACTCTCTGGTACACATTCGGTATCAATGATGAGTCAAAATGAGGCACCCCACCAGGGCAGGGCTCCATGAGGATGGGTCCTTGGAAGACAAAGAAGAAAATTCCACGGTCAAATGGAAGCAGGAACATGACTCAGATGGAGTGGCAGGATGGTGGAGGGAGGGGGGACCTCTCTGAGGAAATGATGTTGGAGCTGAGAACTGAATCGTGTGTAGGAGTTGAGTGGTTCCAGACAAAAGGAACAGCATGTACAACTGTCCCAGGCAAGGAGGGAGGCGGGCACATTGCAGGAGCTGAAGCGAGCTAGGTAAAGCCGGAAGGCGGAGATGCCGACAACACTTACCACGTTCCCTGGAGGTGGGAAGAGCTTTAGAGATCACAGTCACATTATAGATTTTACAGATGAGCCCAGAAAGTCTAGTCTCCTGACTCTGTACTAAGTACTCTTTCTTTAGACCTTGCCCAGCTCCTGGAAGGAAAGATCCATGTTCTGAAAAAAAAAATGCAAAGAAGCAAATAATTTAAGAACATTGCCATTTGGCTCTGGAGACATGGAATAAATTTCCACGCTGCCACAGCCAGTTTAACATCCCAATGTATATAGCGTCACATTAGTATAACGATAAGCCTACTATATCCCAAAGCACCCCAACCAACAGCCAGGGGAGGTGCACCCAGGGAGAGCAAGTGGCTCTGGAAATTCATCCTTCAATGAAAAATATAGTGGTTCAGGGAAGTCCAACCTGGGGGAGGATCCAGAATGGACGACCTTTCTTTCAAATCAGATCTGAGTGTGTGCTCATCTTTACTCATGCCACAACTCTAAATTATCAGTTGGGCTTGTTCTGTGCTTTTCTTTCCTCCAGTGCTGGTAGATTTTTATGAAATGTAACTTCAACATTTAGAACTGCATAACAATAGCATTGTAGGTTTGAATATTTAACAGGCAACAGGGGTACCTTCAACTCCTGTTGTTACAAGATTCCATAGCACCGCCAATGACCTTTTATTTGCATAAAAGATACTCATGAAAACTCTGATACCTGGGGTGTATCTGTGCATAATTCTGCTTTTTATAAATATGTACACTTTGATGACTATCTGTTACAGCCTCTTGGACTGAATTCTTTAAAGAGAGAGAGAGAGAGAGAAGTTGCATTATATTCTCCGGGTTGTCACACTGTATTCTACATATGTTACTGAATAAGAAAGTGTTATAAAATAATGAAGTGTTTTTGTAAACTCCCTGGTAAACATCATCATGAATTATGATACACATTGTCTGGATTTCATATTGTAAGACTGCCACTTGATTCACAGTTAGGTTTATACATCTTGTCATGGAAACAGTTTTGGATTTCTTATTTTCTTTTCAGTTCTGATTTTCCTTATGCAAGTTTGCATCTTTTTTTTTTGGTTATTATTTTAGTTTAAATGCATTTGCTTTTGCTTTTTGATGCATCCTTCTCTTTCTTTCTTTTGTTGGTGCATGTTTGTGTGCCCTTGATTCTCCTGTGGCTGGCCACACTCTGCATGCCTCATTGTTCAACCACCCCTTCGCAAAAGTCAACAAATGCATGTGTACCTTAGTGGGCTGCTGTCAAATGCAGACTCTGCGGGGAGCAAAACTCCCTCCCAACCCGAACCAGAGACTAAAAAAGATACCAAAAGAGAATCCAAAAGGAAAAAAGAGTCCAAAATCCAGACAACTCAGGAGATCAAAAGGTAAGAAGTTATGTGTGCTATGGCTTGGGCTTTGCAATGTCTTTGACCTTTCCCCATCCTTCCATCCATGATGTCACTTCTGCCTTTGCAAACAGCAAGTTTCATGTATTCCTGAAGTCTCTTTTGCTTTAAGGGTTTTCAAAGGTGTTTTTCAAAAAGAAAAAAAAAAAACAACTCTATCATTGGGACTGAATTTGAGTCAGGTGTTTAGTGACTTTTAAAACATGTACATATTGAAAAGACTAATTGAGCAATATGTAAACAGAATTATGAGTCAGATTGCTTTTTTAGTGGCATCTAGTTAGGGACCTGGTACCTTACCAAGTCATTCATAATAAGCAACCCGTGCTTGTAATTTTGAAATTATGTTTAAGGAGCAGATAAAATGGATTGGCATCAAATAGGCCTGTACTTTTATAGCATCTCTATCATTTTCACCAAACCCTCCTCAGTTCCGAGATCATCTCCCAGAAATGAAACCTGTCTCAAATAATGATTTTTTTTTCTTTTTTGCTTATTTACTCACAGGTACCTACACAAAGCAGGAAGCACTATTGTATATCTTTATTTATATTTTTGCAGTGCTAGGGATAGACTCCAGAGCCTCATGCATGCTAGGCAGGCACTTTTTCACTGAGCCACATCCCCAGACCTTAAATAATGATTTATAACATCAACACAAAATAAAGCCTATCCGTAAATTAATGATTATTAGTAGAATCAATTATATATTGAGGTATTTCTAAGTTCTAAAGGTTTGTTTACCTTGGTGCTATTTCCTGTGTCCTTCAGGAATTCTTTCTTTCTTAGCTGATACATTAGCGACTTTTTTTTTCCCTTTTAGACATACTTATTATTTTCATGGTGATCCGTATGTCCTTTACCTTCCCCTCACCCCCAATGAATATGGATGCTTTAAAGTTTTGTCGTGGTGGTTTTAGAACTAATGATTCTGCTCCTAGCACTGCCAAGCTGCCCTAAATTCACCAACACATATTCTTATGCTTCAATATAAATATATTCACTGAATATAAGCCCTGAAATGCATACAGTTCACTTGTAGCAGAGCAAATGAAAATAAAAACATTTGCTTTTGAAGGCACATGCCATGCTGTTCATCAGTGTATGCAGGTCCCACAGTGAAGGCCAAAGAAAACCCTAATTCCATGTGGCCACCCATTTCCTTCATGGCCATATAAAAGGACGTGGGTGACATGTGGTTTCTGTTTGGGTTCCACTGCAAGGCAACAAACAGTCAATTGCAAGCAGTAAGAGAAATTGTAGGTGCCTGATGGTCAGGCCTGGCAGAATCAGGAATCTGTAGAGGGAGCAGGCCTGGCTGCTGTCCAAGGTGCTGCTTTTGGAAGGATCAACATCCAGGCAGAGCAAGAAAGTCGAAAAGCAACACTTGCTCAAGCCTGACCTATTTGCTAGGCCATGAAAAACTAGCCAAATGGATCTCCACTGGTACTTTGACAGGCTTTACGTGTATTTCAGGATCTATGTTTGCACTGCATTTTTTAAATGAAGAAATCATAATATTCAGTATCAGTTGTGTGACCGCCTTACAGTTTACAGGGTACTTTCAAACATTCTCTCACTTGCTGTCAAATTCCCAGGTTAGTCATTTTTGCATCCCTTTTGCAAATGATAACCCTGAGCATCTGTAAATTTAAATGGTGACCCAGATATCCTAAGTCCACTGCTCTTCTTCCTTTCATTGTGTCAGCACTAAAATTCTGAAGACCTGAATGTCAGAAACTGTTTTCTTTTTTTGGTACCAGGCATTGAACCCAGGGATGCTTAACCACTGAGCCACATCCCAGACCTTTTTTACATTTTATTTGGAGACAGGGTCTTGCTGAATTGTTCAGGGCCTCGATAAGTTTCGGAGGATGGCTTTGAACTCATGATCCTTTTGCCTCAGCCTCCCAAACCACTGGGATTACAGGCTTGTGCTACCATGCCTGGCTGAAACTATTCTTCTTAAATTCAGGAGTGCTCTGTCTTATTTCTGTGCCTCAGTTTTCTCATCTGTAAAATGAGCAGATTTAGTATCTTAATATCCCTTGAACATCTAAAATTTTCTTGTAGGAGTTATGTCATAATTATAAGCACAAGACAATATGAACCCATCCACATATTTGATGTCTTTTAAGAAAGTGCTTCTCAAATTGGGGGTGATTTTTCCCCCAGAGGACTTTTGACAGGACTGGAGACAGTTTGGATTGCCACATTATACTATTGTCATCTAATAGGTAAAGGTCATGGGGATATTGTTATACATCCTATGTAATGCACAAGAGAGTTCCTGCAAACAAGGCCCCAAATGTCAGTAGTACTAAGGTAAAGAAACACCTGGAAATACTTTAAAATCCAATTCCCACCAGATKCAGTGGTGCATGCTTATAATCCTAGCAGCTTGGGAGGCTGAAGCAAGAGAATGGCGAGTTCAAAGCCAGCCTCAGCAACTTAGCAAGGCCCTAAGCAAATCAGTGAGACCCGTCTCTAAATAAAATATAAAAAGGGCTGGGA